ATAACGGTGGTGTCATCTGCAAACTTGATTAGCTTGACAGACTGGTGGGTGGAGGTGCAGCAGTTGGTGTACAGGGAGAAGAGCAGAGGAGAAGAACACAGCCCTGAGGGGAGCCGGTGCTGATGGTCCGGGAGTCCGAGACATTCTTTCCCAGCCTCACATGCTGCTTCCTGTCCGTCAGGAAGTCAGTGATCCACCGGCAGATGGGATCAGGCACATTCATCTGGGAAAGCTTGCCTCGGAGATGTGCACATCCTAAAATTATCAGCCACTAAAGTACAAGCTCTGCGATGTTTTTGACAGCAGGGTAGGTGAACCAACCATGGATAGGGTGTCACAGATAATGTCACACTCTCTAAGCCCTATATGAACCAAGAGGAGATGACCCTCTAGATTACTGGACCAACATGCCACCATATTCCCTCATCTATTCCAGCTAGCCAATCTTTCCACTTCAACCACATCAGTCTCCCAAGAGAGAATATCATTCAAAGCAGGAGATTTTGTGCAAAAGACAAAATTGTCTCAGTACTGTTGAACACGTTGTTTTTCTTAATAAAAATAATTAAACATGCATAAAAACACACCGTATAAATATTGATTGATGTCTTTATGTGCAGAAGTACAACCTACAATTACTGACTGATTCAAACAAAATATCCTTCCATACAAATAATACTATAAACCAACAGAAAAGGTGACAGACAAAAAGAAAAAGACACATGAAAACATTCACATTTATTCAGTGCAATAATTTAAAATCACATTTATTTGGCCACCAGATGTCGCTGTAGTAATGTGTTCCAAATTCTCCAAAAGATCAAATCTTTTTCCAAAACAGCTGTTCCAAATGATTTGATCTCTCAAACGCTTCATTTCTGCCATCGCAAACGCAAAGGTTTAATATGAAATACTGGGTCAAGTTACAAAGTCCAGAAAACCAGAGAATATGTAAATGAAAGCCTGGGAATCCCGTGTCTCCAGAAATCATTAAACATATGGATACAGAACCAGAAGGCTTAGAGAGACAACAACAAAGTACAAGCGGAGAATATGGAGTCCAATCAGTGAGGTCATTCATTATTCAGAAGAACAGCGTGCTTTAATCAAAACGTTGATTGGATAGGGGGAAACATATCAAGAAGTGCAGAAAATCATGGGCTGCTCAGCTAAAATGATCTCCAATGCTTTAAAATGGAAAGCCAAACCAGAGAGACTCCATTCGAATGGATTGAACAATAGCCAGCATGGCAAAGACTCAGCCAATAATCACATCCAGGGAGATCAGAGGCAGTCTGAAGTTACCTGTGAGTACTGTGACAATTAGAAGATGTTTGTGTGAGGCTAATCTATCAGGAAGAAGCCCCCGCAAATTCACGCTACTAAAAAAAAAAAAGACATGTGCTAAAGACGATACAATTTGTCAAAGAACATATCGACTGGCCTAAAGAGAAATGGAGAAACATTTTGTGGACTGATGAAAGTAAGATTGTTCTTTTTGGGTCCAAGGACCGCAGACAGTTTGTTAGATGACCTCCAAACACTGAATTCAAGCCACAGTACACTCTCAAGACGGTGAAGCATGGTAGTTCAAGCATCATGATATGGGGATGTTTCTCTTACTATGGTGTCGGAACTATTTATCGCACACCAGGGATCATGGATCAATTTGCTTATATCAAAATAATTGATAAGGTCATGCTGCCAACAAAATGAAGCTTATGGAGTGGCCAGCCCAATCCCCACACCTTAATCTAATAGAAAACTTGTTCGGTGACATCAAAAATGCTGTTTCTGAGGCAAAACCAAGAAATTCAGAGGAATTGTGAAAGGTTGTCAAATCATCCTGGCTGGCATACGTGTTTATGATGATTTTGAGCTTTACTCACATTTTAAAACACTGCTATTATTTTGAACATAACTGTATAATCAAACTAAAAACTTGAGGCACAAATAAGGAAAAAAAAGAACCAATACCAGATATCAGAAGATAACACAATAAACAAACCCATCAGCATAAGGAAATACAAAATAACACTATTAACAGAAAAGTACAATATTATACAGAACATGACAAAAAAATATATAAATATATCAGTAGCAATAAAAGTGTCTGTATATAATGATACATTTGTGTGATAGTTATAAATAAATATTTACTCTAATAGTTAAAATGTTATGCTTTTATCCAGACTAAATGAAGATCTTCTGGATTAGTGAGATGCTGCTTCCTCTCCAGCTTGCAGTCTAAGGAGCTTGGAAAGAAAAGCGTCTGGACTTCTTAAAGTTGCTTGAGGACTTTTCACCTCTCAACCGAAAAGCTTCGTCAGTTCTAGGGTCAAATGATGGAGAGTCCCAGATTTAAGCTCTATGGGAGTAACCCACCAAGAGGGACATGGGCCCCCTATTGATCCTCTACCTAATCACATGAGCCAAGGTGTGAAAACGGGTGTGGGTAGCAATCATGCATGGTTTTGGGTGTACTCATAGTGAAACCTAGCCCTAACCCTATCATGCGATTTCCTGAGGTCAAAAGGCTCAAGATGTGAGTGGTCGTTAAGGCGTCTGGGAAGGGATCTCAAAACTGGGTTATAGATGGCAGACAGTTGGTGTTGTAAGCCACCGCCTCTGTTCATAGATTGTCATTGACAGTGGACATAGACGGCTTCCTTCACTCCTCTTTCAAACCATCTGTCTTCTCTGTCCTAAATGTGAACATTGGTGTCCTCGAAGGAGTGTCTTTGTCCTAGATGCAGATGGACTGCTGAGTCTTGTCCTGTGGAGGTGGCTCTTCTATGTTGTGCCATGCGTTTATGAAGTGGGTGTTTGGTCTCTCCAATGTAGGGGTCTGGGCATTCCTCGCTACACTGTACAGCATACACCACATTGTTAAGTTTGTGTTTAGGAGTTCTGTCTTTGGGATGAACCAGTTTTTGTGTGGCTGGGTCTGAAGTACACTGGGATGTTGCGTTAGTCTTTCTGATCCTCCCTAGTTTCTGTCTGATCGTCTTCTCTATGACTCTTTGCTGACTTGATGAAAGACCAAATAGGATAACCACATGTTTTAAGAGCTTCCTTTACATGTGTGTGTGTTCAGTGGAGGAAATACAGTCTTACATCCTAAATACTGTACAGTCATATTAAAGCTCTGGGTGCTCTCTGCGGGGCAGGTAGGTAATAACGTAGCAGCTTCCAGAAGGCAGAAGAGGGCAGCATCGAGCTTTTTCCCTTCCAGGTGACACAGTCTGCAGCTTTGCAGAGTTGTAAGGCCTCTAAAGATGAACTTGTGCTCAAGACTCCGGCTGTCTCAGTTTTAATCAAAACCACGTGAGTCTGCAACTTCTTGAGGGATGCTTGGATACTTTTCAGCAGGTCGACTCCTGAACCAGAATCTTCTGAGCAGGGGACCAGAACCACTGTCTGACTCTGCTTTATGCAGTCTAACACAGCCTCTCCTACAGGAGCAGACAAGCACAGATCAGAGTGTGTTGTTTTCCCCTTGACTGAATTTGTAAGGACAAAATTTAGAATAACAATTTTGTAAAAATATGAAAAATGTAAGCACCTCTCTCTGGTACAACATCAGGACTGTAGCGACAGAGACTATAACCAAGTCTGTACTTCATTTCACTCTCCAGCCTTTTTCTGTCATCTTCATTTAGTCCTGGATCTGTGCTACTCTTGTAATACATCAAGCAGGCGTTGTAGCTTTTTCCATCTAAATGGAAAAAAATAAAAATGTTGTTTTAAAAGTGGATAGAAAAAAGCTGATTTTTGCCGCTCTGACAAAAATGTGAACACAGACAATGTTTGAATTAGCAAAATGTATGAATACTACCTGGGATGGTTCGATGGCAGCCAAGAATTCGACGAAGGAAAAGCGTGATGTCGACTTTAAACTTTGCATAAATAATTGCTGTTAGTACCATCACCATCAGCACAAAGCCCACAATCCATAAAGCCACAAAGTAAGAGGAAGGAGCAGCTGTAGGGAGTGATGGGGATTTTCTAAATTAGCTCATCTAATGAATAAACACATTAAAGAGTATTATTAAGTACTCAAAATGTTCAGCTGGCCATACCTTTTTGTTTTAGAGTGATAGTGACAAAGCTTGTTTGGTAGGCAGATTGCAGTTTACAGGTATAATTTTTTGACAGATCGTCCTCTGACACTTTTCTGAAGATTAGAGATGTTCTCATTCTGATTTCCTCTGTGCTGATGACCCTGAGAAGAGAAGGAAATGACTGAGGCAGATCTAAAAACAGAATTCATATCTGAGCTGATGTGACTACATATAACATCAGTGTGACCCACAGAGGACCTGTGTGTGAAATATTTACCGTGTATCATTATAGAAAACTGGTAGACTAGTGTCTGTATCCACAAATGAACTTTCACTTAACCAAAACAAGTCATCAGTCTCTGACATCATAACTGCTTTACAATCAATCACCACTGTTGAACCTAGAAAAAGCAGAGTTAACACAGGTTGTTATAAACGATTAACATTTAAGCTTTAGCCAAGAGTGTGAAGGTGTATGAATATAGACAATAACTCACCTAAATCTACCTCAAATACCTGCTTGTTCTCTGGTGAAATTATCACTGCTTTCTTAGTTATTTCTGTGGAAATAAAAAAACCTTTTGAAAAGCACGTATTAAAATCATTAAAAATAAATATCTGCAAAATGTGTTTTTCTTACTGCTTGGTTGGACATCAAGTTTCACCGTAGAGGTCATGTTATATATTTGACCATCATACAGGTAAGACCGGGTGCAGGTATAGTTGCCACTGTCCTCTTTTTTCACACTTGGGAAGTAACCGTCTTTTGGTGATGACCCGCCCTCCTACAACATATAAGCTCGATTTTTAAGTAGTCAGCTGTCAAATTTGGAAAAAACATTAAAACCCTGTAACAATATTTTACAGTTTGATCTCATTCACATAATCTGCTCTGTTTACCTTGTGCCATGTGATGCCGCTTCTGGTGATATTCAGGGTGTTAAAGGGAAAAAAAAATTCAGGGCAATACAACTTGCAGAACTCCTCTGTGTAACATTCTTTAGAGATCTGGTTCATTTGCTCAGAGTCTCTGGACTGAGCTGTGTTTACTTTGAGGCTTATCCAGGACTGTCTGCTGGAATTCCTACCAAGGAAAGAAAACAGTAACATGAAGTTTTAACTTTCATTCTGAGCAACAAGCAAAATGAAACAAAAAAATGGGAAAGTAAGAGAAGACTTAAAGGATTAGTTTTAAAATGGTGTTCATCTACTTAGCGGGCTATTTGTCCATCAGGATTTATTATTAGCTGAGAAAGTTTTGTGCTGCAAACAGTGAAATTAAACTAACATATCTGGCATTCTGTATAAAAATCCCTCTCAGCTTCGCCTTCAGTAATCCATTCCTTTAACGCTGGATTACTGAGAGGCTCTTCTCTGACCCACAGAAGATGAAACCTAATAACCTGTGATACACTCATGCTTCTTGTGTGCCTTTGTCTGATTTTATTTTACCTGATTTATTTATTTTACTCACAACAGAACTCAGAAAACAAATGTTTTGACTGAGACGTACCATTTCAGGAAAACACTCATTTTGAATTTGATGACATGTCTCAACAAAATTCAACAAAACACTTTTCAACCAATAAAAGGTTGAGAAGGAAGTGTTTGTGTTACACATGAAAATCATGATTTTAACTTTAGGCCTGCAGGCAGCACTGGTTTAAATTTAATTTATCATGAAAATCACAGCATGGGCTCAGGGACACTTGTGCCATCCACTAATGTAGGCTAATGCACCACCATGCAAAGAACAACGTAATCATCTTCTATGATTCACTGAGGCAAAGCGAAAAACTGTCCTGAGGTCAGGCGAAACAAAACTTGAAAGATTATTTGGCAACGTGTTACACAGCTTGTAATAATGGATGCTGAAAGGTATATACATGTTTTAAAGCCACATATACTCTATGACTATGTCTTTCGGAGAAGGCCTTGCATATTTCAGCAAGACAATGCTAAACTGCATACTGCTGTCATTACAACAGCATGGCTTTGAAGTAGAAGAGTCTGGGTGCTGAATTGGCCTGCCTGGTGTTTAGACCTTTCACCAATCAAAACACTGGACAAAAAAAATAGGGCAATGAAGAGTGACTGTTGAGAATGGGACAACATTCCTTTCCCAAATATCCAGCAGCTGCTCTACCCAGTTCCCCGATGTTCACAGACTGTTGTTCAAAGAAGAGGTGATGCTACACAGTGTTAAACATGGCCCTGTCCCACCTTTTAAAGCACTGTAAAGCACTTTGAATCACCTTGTTGTTGAATTGTGCTATACAAATAAACTTGCCTTGCCTTGCCTTTTGAGACATGCGGCTGCCGTCAAATTCAAAGTTATTAATTGAAAATTATTAAGAATGATTAAAATGATTGTTTTCTTAAAATTTAGTTAAAATGGTACATTAGTTGTTAAACCATCTAAGTTTATAAAAAAATGAATGTTTTCTATGTTCTAGTTTGAATAAAATATGGCTTTGTTCCAGTTTTTCTGTACCTTAACAACAACCCGCCGTCCTCAGTTGTGTTTCAGGATTTGCTAACTTCAGATGGCGGGTTGTTATTTGCAAACACAGGATCCTCACATATATGTTACCAGCATTTAGGGAAACTGTCATACCATAATGCCAACAAGCAACCTGGTTTAGTACAAATATAAAAAGTGCTTTTCTGGTGCCGTGATGTTCAATAACAACCTTAAAATGTTATAATAAAATATAATACAAGTTAAACTTGCTCTGCTATCCTGTCGTATAGGAAATAGTACTTTATCAAACAAAAGTCGTGTGGGCACGACTTTTGTTTGATGTCAGTCTTAGACAAGGAAACCATTCATTTTACCGAAAAGAGCAGGAGTAATTCCCCTGATGGTTTACTGAAGCTCTGAGAATAACAAGGATTCTTCCATGAACCAGCACACCCATCTGCCTCTGCTCAGCTGACGTTGACATGTTGAAGAGTTTCATTTCATCCACGGTGTGACTGGTCCAGAACACCTCAGCATCTCCATCACGGTACTCTCTGTAAGAAGGGCACTGCAGTACCGCCATCTCACCTGCCTCGACATTTACTTCCTGGAAACTCAGTGGGCACACACCTGTCAATGACATTCATAATGACATGTGAAAAAAAGCATTGCTTTAGTCTAAAATGATCATATTTGTCTGGTTAATGAAACTCGGGCTTCACAGTGCAGTCACTAGCAGTATTCTACTTTTACCCTGAACTAATGTCACCGATATTTTTAAATGCCACAGCATTACCACAAAGGGAGGGCAGTACAGCCCTGGTGCCCCTTAGCAGGCTTCCAGAAACTGGGTAATAAGAAAATTGGGGGGGGTTGGTGCAGGGGCTATAATAACTTGTTGCAGACAGAGGAATTAATGAGGGGCTCCCTAAAGAATCAGAATTAGAGAAATAAGTATGACGTTTAATGTAAAAATGTTGTAGATTCCCCTAATAATGTAAAAGATAATGTAAAGGGTTATTGTGTGTTGTCGTATTTTGAAGGTTCTGCTCTGTGAATTCTCTCCACGCTTCTTCCAGTTGGCGCCTGCTCTTGCTACCTAAAAGGAATTTGATGAATACTGCGCTCCTTCAGGCAATGGCTGCCATTCTGGGGTTTTAAAAGGCTTATGAGGCGCATAACTGTCATAGTCTGTGTGCAGGCAGACAGGAAAGGACCGAAATGCAGACTCAGACACGGAAATGAAACAAACTCAAAAGGGCAGCTTTATTGCTGGACACCAGAAAGAACTAAACTGGAATACAAAACCAAACAAATGTACACATGTACACTGATGGACACATTTGCAGGACCATGAATGCTTTAGGCAGCTGTAGACTTACACTGTAAAAAAAAAAAAAATTCCGTAGAAAAACGGAAAATGTCCTGGTAAATTTTTGCCAGTACATCGGCATCACGGGCATCGGCAAAATAAAATAAAAAATTGCTCGTACTCATGCTGCCCCGACATCAGCCAGCGCATATTGGGAATGGTACAGGCACCGATCGGTTTTCTATCACCCATTTCCTGGGAGTAAGGGCGCCCTCCGTATGCGAGGTGCACCTGCTGCTTGCGGCACAGGGAGGAGAGGGCGGGGCGGCGGGGGATTCACTGGTGGCTGGAGCAGCATCTAATAACCAACTCGCAAAATAAAACAAAACAACAAACACGAAAACACCAGACATTATAATACAGACTTATAATCTGCACCAATGCTTTATCGAAATTCTATACGCGAAAAGTGTGCGCCTGCTCGCTGCTGAAGTCAAAGTAAACTTTATTGTCATCTCTCTATATACATTCCAGTATATAGAGCGACGAGACGACGAGGCTCCTTTTACAGCAGTGCAAGTAAACAAACAATATATATAAGAGTAAGAAAATAAATATACACTTTAGGACTAGGGGTAAAGGGATCAATAACAACCAAACAACCAAACAGACCTGACCCAGCAACACTGCTGCTGGGTCAGGTCGTGATGTCACTGATAACATTGTTAAACACGGTGTTAGGAAGCAGAATTAATAAATAACAGACTGAACTTACTGGAAGTCAGATACGCATTTGAATAATAATGAAACCATAACACAAAGAGCAGTGCTTGGATAAAGTGGGGGCACTGCAGGGGCAATGTTTTGTAAGGGGAGGGTAAAGGGACTAAAATAATTTAATCACACATAATGAAAGAAATGAGAGGAACAAAGTAAAAACGAAACTGAGGATGAAAATGCCTTACATTGCCTGTATTTAGCTTTCTTTATACTGCCTTAAAATAAAATCTCTGCACACCTGAAGAAACAACAGGTGCCTATGAGGGAAAAACACAACTTCCCCGAACTGTCTTGCTTGTCACCATTTTATTGAATCACATTTCATTCCAACAGACTTTCATCAGTTTTGTAAACTGTTTTGTTTGTAATTGATAAAAGTCAGTTGGAAGGAGATGTTCTGATTGAATTAATTTTTTTTATAGATGTTAGCTTTGGAATGTCAGTCACTTATCTTCCACCAGTATTGCTTAAAAATAACTTTTTAATGTAATAATCTCATCACTTGTCAGCATCACATTTATATTACTCACAAGGCTCTAAGGAACCAGGCGAATGAGTATTGACACAAGCTCATGTGCCTAATATTGTGCGTGTATTTTTAGCAGCTTGGTATACTTTAACAACACTGCAAATTCATTTTTTGAATAAACATATTTTGGTCTTTTGGGTTTTTTTTTTTGTTTTTATTGTTCACGCTCAAAACACCGTTAACCACTCAGTTTAAACTCGACATTTTCAACAGTGTTTAATAATAAGTTTCACTGTAAATGTAAAAGAGCAATGTTTTTTTAGATTATGAACTGTAGATTTATGTTCTAAATAAAATAAAAATCACCCATAAAACATGAAGAGGTCTTACCTGGTGTCGATGTAAGGAAGACGAGAAAAAGAAGGAGAAGGCTTATTTTTCCGTTCATATCGTCTCACGTCAAAACTCAACACGAATCTTCTTAGGAGCTAAAGTGAAGAAAACTGGGCCCTGTTCCAGGAAGCCGGTTTAGTGGAAAAACTGAGTAAGTATACCCTGAGTTAACGAAAACTCTGAGTCTTCGTTTTCACAAAGCAAGTTCAGCTGCAGCCTGA